AGTCATAATATGTGCATGCATACCTTCAAATATATCAGTCATAATATGTGCACGCATACCTTTAAATATATCAGTCATTATACACGTCCATGCATACCTTCAAATATATCAGTCATTTTACAGATCTGAGCAAAGGATGAGCCATTAGCCCAGGCAAAGACAACATCCATAATATGTGGTCTGAATGACTCAACGTATTCCTCAATATCCAAATCCATCTTGGCTTCTTGTGATACCTTGGCAATACGACGCGCTGATTCCTACATGTGTCAGACAGGGATGTATCCAGTGAGATATATAACCCTAACCCACAACCTGAATGTTAAAGTCCCATACAACCAACCAGATATCCAACCAACCTGCATCTGTCTTAGAGGTCCAGCCAACTCTTCTTTTAATTTGGGCAGTTCGTCACTCTAGTGTAAAAGTAAGTGATATATAGTTAAAGGATTTTTCAGCCTTAGTTAAATAGCATGATGGCACCATACCCGTTCTTCGCAGATGAAACAACTCAATAGCGCAACACTTTGTTCTGTAGTCAAGTCGTTAAAGACACCATTAAAGATCATCTCAGTTAAGAGAAGCTCATCACCACTGAAAAATAAACAACGAAAACACACATAGAAAAGGGCCAAAGGAGATGAGAATATAATAAGAGAGTAATAGAATGTCCAACTGTTCTAGGTATGCTTCACACCTGCTCAGTTCACATGCAACACGACCTTTAAGTTCAATGACGTCTGATGCAGTTGAATATCCTAATCTACATAATGAAGAGAAAAACATCATATTGAAGGTGTGTTGGTATTGCAAACAGAGGTCAATAGACCTTTTCAATTGTGTGTAATTTCTTGCCATTTAAAACCAAATGCCATTCCTTTTGAGAATGAGATTCTTTGTTCGAGTTGTATCCATATTCATGTGTCTCATGCACAGCCGTTAAACAAAGAAATGATACTCTAGGGAATGACATGTGGGCTTAAGTGGAAAAACATTACACCCAAACCAAAAATGTCTATAGTCATGGTTAAAATACCCATCTATGTTTTTTTGTTTATTTATGTATTTCGTCTTTTATGAGGTAAAACGTCAACTGACATTGAATTTTTTCAACATTTCAACTTTAAAACTCAATGACTTTTTAAAAGAAGCAAAAAATCAAAAATCGCTCATACCCTTTTGTAGTTTATCTTTTGCTTATTCACAAAGTGAATTTTTTTTGGCTATACGTGCAAACGCCATATCCATTAATTCACCTCTACTGAACGTGCCCGATTTGTGTTTAAGGCTTCTGCATTGTTTCAAATTAGAAAATCGCTATATAGTTTTATAGGGTTTTGTTAAACGTGTTGCGTAGAGAGAGTTTTAAATGTAACATACCCCTGAAGGTCTTCAGTAACCTTAATGAATTACCTTCTTAAGACTCGTTTTCGACACTTCAATTCATCCAACTGCAGTACAGTTTTAGCTTTTTTAAGTTCTTTTTTTGCTAGCTTGGTATCAGCAATAATCTAGATCAAAAAGAGAACCATAGTCACAATGTGAAAGTGTGGAAATAACCCAAACCCAGTAAGAATGCCATACCTTTGCCTTTTCTTCACACAGTGAATACAAGGAATCCAATGATGGATCTTTGTGCAACGGATGTGTGTACATACGGTGCTCTAGCATTTCAATTTTCTAAAATCAATAGAAACATACTGCTTTAGTAGACACCCTTGAGAACAGTGATTTCCCATTGTATACCAACTAATCATATTACCTTTATTATCTTCTTCAGTCCATCTTCTTTAATATTCATGTCTTCAATGGGATCTAACAGAGGCAAGCCATCAGGAAAACGCTTTATGACCTCCTGCATTCAAGATATGGTATTATTATAGAATCAAGTCAAGGGAGTATTCATTCAATCATTCTCATTAAAATACTCACCTGAACAGACTTGCCAACACTTTGTCTGCTGTCTAATGACCTCAGATCTTTAGGTATATACAAACGAACACTGCTGATTCTTTTAACCAAATTTAATAACACAGGCACAACCTGTCATTTACAAAGCAATTAAAGGATAAGTTGGTTCACGTTTTCTGCATGGTTATAAATGTTGTAGTCATACTGCATCTATCATACCTGCATTTCTCCCTTTTCCCCAACCCCACAGGGCTGTGGTATATCACCATCTGCAGATTTAATGGTCCTTGTAGAGCACTTGACAAGAACCTCAATCACAAACAATGTATCTCCAATTGACGCACCGCTCTGAAAACAGTAACACACTCAGTGTACAGACAGCAGACAACAACTAGTATGACTCATATGCACCGCTCTGAAAACAGTAATACACACAGTGTACAGACAACAGACAACAACTAGTATGACTCATATGCATCACTCTGAAAACAGTAACACACTCAGTGTACAGACAACAGACAACAACTAG